TCGGGCGGGGGGGGGGCGGTTTGGAAGAACGCTCAAACAAAGGTCCACTTTTTGGTCCACTTTTAATCTAAAGGTCCAATATTTCTCTTTAGATGGACTGATTCGTATCACCAGCGGGCATGGAATCGTATAAAACTGCCTACTTTGTCATTGAATAAAAAGTTATCCCTCAGACTGATTTTTTTGTCTGAAATCCTCTCAAAAACGCAAGAAATGCCATTTCAGAAGGTTCTTCATTTTTCAAAATGGGGGGGGGGGCATGCCCCGGACTAGTTACTAGGACTAGTTAAAATTTATGTAACTAGACAAGTCTAACTGCAGGCATGGTTACCTTGGTGATGAAGACGATGTTAGGTTCCTGTCCCATGTCGGTGACCACCACCTGCCCGTGGTGCATCGTCTCTGTCTTAGCCAGCGACGCCAGCCGCTCCATGGGCTCGTCTCCCCACGGACAAAACAGGCTCAGTTTTCTGGGGCCAAACAGCAAGATGAATATGAAATAAAAACTAAACGTTCCTTCCAACACTTGAATGAATTTTGACTTACCCCAAATTTTCGGGTGACTCCTTCAACCTTGTTCACTGAATGGACCCGTCTACTCTTGGAACGTGACGTCAGAGACACGTGACCGTAGTAGCGGGGCATAAGTGGCAGATAACTTGTGACGCCCCCCGTCTATTTTCAGGGTGGTCTGTGAGCTCTAATGTGGACCGCCTCCTTCACTCCTGTCCTCTTTATCATAATGACTTGTACTAACACAGATGAACTTTATGCCAAGCAAGACATATACTGGGAGACGTAGCCTTTTCTACGGTGTCGTGTGGCATATTTTTGCACCTGTGCTATGACAGTTGAAGCAATTATAATGAAATTTAGTACAAACATGTAGCTCAGCAATTCAACACTGCATAAAAAGTTTCGCTTAACTCTATACTTCTTCCAGGAAAAATATTTTTGGCTCCGATACCGATAGCATGATAGTCAAAGCGACAATGCCGAATTAGCACTACAGCGACAAAATGGTATTGTCCGTACCTACCTATATAATGGTTTATTTTAAATGCAATATTGCAAAAACACATACAGTTGGCACCAGGCTGCCAAAGCTGAATTATGGGTAACTGTTCACAAAAATGTAATCTTTACAAGATAACCTCAGTAACATAGGAAGTAAAGTTATGAGTCTCAAATGACAGAAGGTGGCAAATTAGATTAAAAACACTAGAAAGGTAACATTGCAAAGCAAATGCATAAAGTTTACCTTCGCATATGGTCTGCTTTGTTAATTCTTACTCAAATACATTCATATATATTGCCAGACTGGAGTCTAAATCCCTCCTGCTATGAAATTGCAACATGGCGTAACCCAACACTAGTTACCATGGTGACAGACGTCTGGTTCAGGTAATTGACCTTAGAAGAAGAAGAGGAAGAAGCAGAGCAAGAAGAAGAAGAGTAAAAAGAGCAAAAACAATTTGTTTTCCTTCAGTAAACATAATTACACAGATAATTAATGAAAACAGTATTGTAAACACATTATTAGAAGCACTTGACTACCTGAGGAAGTCAAACTTGTACTTGAAGTCCCGCTTGAGAAGAACGTGCATGTCGCTGTCCTGTAGGTTGAAGCTGTCCACCACCACCAGCTCGGTCTGCTCCAGGGTCTGCACGGTCGCGTTCCGGAGTTCGCCTGTAATCATAGCCATCTCCTGGGGAGAACGTTAACAGTTCACGTTTTCATTTAAGGCGGCACAACACAGTATTAGCCCTATGGGGATTTCTATAGTTAAGGACCCCAAAGTGACTCACTTCGACTCACGGAAAATCATACTAGGGTGCACAAGCAAGGTTCAGAATTTTGATATGTTTAATTTCAGGGTAGAGTGTACAAAATATGTGAAAATGAGCTTGAATTTGCCGGCTAGTTCTCTTCTCGCGCCCTCTTTTATTAGCGCCACTGCGGAGGTCATGGAACTGCAGCCGACGCACAGTACTAGGCGGGACAAGTATCCAAGCGCAAATCTACGCCGACTCAACACGCACCATAATCCAACTTTTACAGTCTCAAAACTGACGTATTCCTCTAACATTTACCACAGGTTCTGTCTCGATGCCATGCACAAAACAATCTCTGCACCCTTCCCTAGTATTGTGTAGCACTACTTTGTGCCCGGAATACTTTTCACTACGGGGTTCGCCCATGAATACTGTGTTGTGCGGCCTTAAGCCACATTTATCACAAAACATGGCGACGGCACACTCAAGTTTTTTTATTATGTTTACCGAAGGAAAACATATTTGCTCCATTTCTTCTTCTTCTGTTCCAAACACTAACCTCTGACCTGGCCAATGGCCTCTTTTGTTGACGTCTGTCACCATAGTAACTGGTGTTGGGTTACATAATGTTGCAATTTCATAGTAGGCATTTAGACTCCTGTCATTATATACATGTATGTGAATGTGTTTGAGTTAGAATTAACAGAGCAGACCATATCCGAAGGTGAACATTATGCATTTGCTTTTGCAAATGTTACTTTTCTAGTTCAACTTATTTTCATGCCGTCACCAACGCAGAGGGCAAACGCATGAACGGACAACAGACATTTTCACATGAGCGAAGTGAGGAAAGTCGTGTAAAGTGCCCTTCCCAAGGGCAAAATATAGGTGGCATGACCCAAACTGATGCGAGCGTGCGAATAAAATAGTTGGCAAAAAATGACTTAATTATGAAAGCGATGTGGGATAGTTAGTAGAAAATTCAGCACTCAGTGGCTTTTTTTAAAGGTAGCCAACACATACCTCCAACAAAAAAATTTCAACGTCCAGTGTACATCTTGATCACGGAGTCGGATCGAGAGGTCACGGGTTTGATTCCTGGCTAGACGCTATATGGCTTGGGAAATACCTTACTTCGTTTTGGGAGACTAAAGGCTGTGAGATATATTTTTTTACCTGGGCTTTCTAAGTTCTGTATCTGTATAGCAGCTTTGGAGGCACGTGGCGCGGCGGCAGCTGGCTATATTACACCGATCGACTTGTTACACCTAACTCTTGAACATCTAACTCTAGGCACTGTTTAAAGCTATCTAATGACAATGTCCCTACTGTACTTGGTGACAGTGAGTTCCACTCTGCGATAGTTCTAGGAAAGAATGGTTTAAGTTACGCCTACCCCAAAAATGTCCCCCTTCCTGAGCACCACCATGCTGGCCCGCTGCATCAGTTCATCAGGGTCGTCTGTGGTGACCACGCCTACCCGCCCCGAGAACACCATGTAGAACGCCGTGCCGGGATGGCCCTTCTTAATCACCACGCGGTTCATGCCTAAACTAGAAAGACAAATTAACTTCCCGGTTAGACTGAGCCTGCACAACGTTATATTCGGTCACCTAGATAATTGTCCATCTATTGTTAATACAGTTATTCTACTAGCAAAAATGTATATTTTCCGAAATAGAGATTCCAAAGTAGTTGCCTTAAAAGGTTTTGTTAAATTCGTTAGTACGTATTGTAAGATTGAGTTTATTTTGAACAGCATTGTCAAAAAGTAAAGAAACATATGGGAAAATGGGGAACACTACACAATTATCTCGTTAATTAGGAAACCATTTGTAAACTGTTTTGGATTACTATTTAGTTTTTTGTTTTGTACACCATGTACACTTTATTTGTATTCATACGACTGTAATACTTTCTTGAAAATGCAATAAAAACATTTTTATTTACATTCATGATCTGCAAAAAAACTTTAAAAAAGAAGAAAGATATAATAAGGATCATTCAAATCTAAAAACGTTCAAAAATACTTCAATATTTTATTTCAAGAAATATTCGTGTGATTTACCTAAACTTTTCTTTGATCAACATATTTGTACAATCATCTCACATTTCTGACACTTATTTTTATTTTATATAATTATGGTCGGTGCTAAAACAGCCCACACAAGACATACTCAGTTTTTAGTGCCACCACAATCTACCAGAATGTAAACAAACATCGTTGACAGCTGTGTATCAAGCTTTTAAACTCGTAAGGTGTCATATTTTTGCACCTTCACATTCTGAATGGCACTTATCTGGAATGGAGTTGGGTTGATTTAACTTTGTTTTGTTTGTGTGTTTCAATAATTTTTTTTAATCTATGTCAAGAATTGACGATAAATTTCACTTTTTGTATCACCCATAAGTTGTAGAATGCAGCTTTGCATGTGTAAATACACAGTCGACGGGGGTTAGAAGGGAAGAAAATCTTCATTATATCCTTCTGCAAATTTTTGATAAAGATGAGATTCGTACCTCTGGTACCGCACGACCCTACAGAGCATGTCCTGGATGTTTCTAGGGTACTTCCTGAAGTTACTGAGACTGCGCAGTACGGCCCCTATGAGCCTGAGGTCGGCCGGGTTCCTCTCTGACGGAAGCTTCTCCGCTACCCGCTTTGCCGAGTCTGGGAAAAGGTGCTGAAGGGAAATATTCGTTTAAGTCCTTCATTCATGTCGTCATTCATTCATTCATTCACTCATGCATTCATAAGGCTACATTGACTTAATTTTATGGATAACATCCTCTGAAGACCCCAAACTAGTGCGCGCGGGCGAGTAAAAATATTCCAGCCACCAAAAATGCTGCTAACCCACAGGAATACAAAGCTGGTATTGTGAATTTGTGGTACAGTAGTACAAAGCGACTTTTACGACAAGCCGGCACATGCTGGGCTTTGCGACATTTATGAGTCGGCACTGTCGTTCACTGAGTTCTGAGTCCCGTGGAGCGTCGGCAGCCTGGATGCCGTCCTCCATAGTTACCGCCGGCTCACTATTGTCGCTAGCTACCATGGATTACGGAGGGAGGATGTCACCCAGGCCAGAGCCGCGGACGAGGTGATTCTTTCTTCTTCTCTCTTTTTTTAGAACAGGCGAAAATCAATGCGCGCGCGGATGTCATCCATAAAATTAAATCAGTACGGCCTAATCAAATAGATCAGGACGTAATAGTGCATTTTGGGGGTCAATTTCAGAAAATGAGAAATCATGGGAATGGATCATTAATTGTGTCAGTATCTTCATTGTTTCACCACCTCCCCGAACTAAATACCTAACGTCGCCGTGCTGATTTTTTAAAGACCAACCTTGTTACGGTTTCACTTCACTTTCACTAATTTATTTATGCAGGAAATTGCACTCAGGTCATTTGACCTGTTTTTCAGACAATCCTGTTTTTTTTAAACAACGCAATACATTCACAAATCACAGTAACAACAATTACAACATATACAGTTATTCTACCAGATACAATTACCAGATACAGGTTTGCATGCTGATATAAGCCCAGATTTACAGAATAGTACGTACTGTTCAAGCTCCTACCTCAAAATCTGTCTTGAAGAAGCCGGCATCAAATGAGAGAACGTTGCCTTGTTCCTTGAGGGGTGAGCGTTGTGGTCTAGACAGCCCCTCGAATACCTGGAAATAAGGATGAATGATTTGAATTCACACTTTGTAGCATCCTTTCTTAACCGCAAAGGTGGCCCAGGTGGCCCTTCCTAAAAAAAAAATAAAAATAAACTAAAATAAAAAAAATAGCACGTCGACAGAACGAAATGCGCAAACACTGCTGGCGGAGCGAATCGTCCACCCGGTCCTGTCATGATTATCAAGAAAGCCATGATTAACAAACTTTCTTGATAATCATGACAGGACCGGGAGCACATCGTCGCGGTTTCTGTCAGATGTTTGGTCAACGTTGCATCAGAATTTTGTCCGCTGCGTACGATATCTTTTTCCACACAACATTTGAAAACTATAGACGGGAGAACATCCTCATATACTAGTACTCTTAAGACAACCTTAGAAACGTTTGTCAAGTGCTGTACACATTGTGCGTTCCTGGTTTCGCGCATATGTTCCGCCGACATGCTAGAAAAAAATGGACCATGGACACGTGACCATGCTTACATGTAGCTCGTCCAAATGTGTCTATGTCGTCCCCCGTCCCGGTTGATAGGGTATTTTTGTTGTTGTGCTTATTTTCGATCAGACAAATTAAAATTTCAGCGTTCATGGCTATTCAGAACACAGTAGGAATTTGTAATATATAACACATTACTATGTACGTCTTTTAAGTATTTTTGAACCTTTACCATAATTAGAAATGGTTGTCTTACTTTGCCCAGATGGTCCTCTGCGTACTTCTTCATACACATGGCCACCTGACAGAGTCTGCGCACTACGCGAGCCGCCATGGCGAACTTTTCAAGCATCTGCAACATAAAATCAGCAACAATCACGATGTATTCTTCATATTCTTACATCTGTGGATAAAACACTATGTTAGCGTCATCATAGGCCAAACAGTTTCTTTTCTTAGTAGAGTTTCTGAGCCACAATTTTATCTTGATAGTTGGTTCAATATTTGTAATTCTTTTGCCTGTTTTTTTGTTTCCTTTTACAGTTGTTCTAATATTAATCTGAAGAGTTTTGAAATCACCAAAAAAGTCGTTACTTACGGTCTGCGTTTCTTTCACTGGAGACGGAGATCTCTGTAACCGAACATATGTAGGATATGGTAAGTGATAAAGAATAAGTTACAATGTAAAATGGCGGTAGGAGCTAAAAAATACGTTGGTTAAGTTCCTTTGAAATGCCTCTAGTGTCGGTAGGGGAACATGTAACTGTTTCAGTGAATTCTGAAGACAAAAAAGAAAAAAAAATCAACAGAAATTATGAGAATGTGTTATCATAATATTCTCCTACTCTTCGACACATGCATTAATTACGCAACTCATTGAGGCTATATCGTATCCAGAATCATGCCTATCTAGATCTATGCCTGATTATGGGTTATAAGAAGAATCAGGGACGGTTCTGGATAGTATCTACAGTAGCCTCCTTCGCAGACCTTAGGCGGCGAAACCGTCCCTCCGCGGCATAACTCGCGTCGCTCCCCGAAAAAAAAATTAACGCCTTCGCCCCCTCAGAAGTCTGTGAAGGAGGCTAGATGGTATTCACGTATCCGAGAACGTAGATTTGTTCCAGGCAAGGTTCTGGATAAAGCACGGTTCTGAGTACAACTATTCACACATCAGACTTACCAGCCGAATCAACGCTTGTGTTTTCCGTCGGTGACCGTGCCACGCACGCGCTCTCAGACGGGCGACCTCCTCCTGCGTGAACAGTATGGATTCACGCCGCTGTCTGCTGACGGGCTGCCGTCTTCCGCCGATGGACTCACGCCTTCCGCCGACGGATTCCCGCCTCCCGCCGACAGATTCACGTCTTCCGCCGACAGATTCACGTCTTCCGCCGACAGATTCACGCCTCCCGCCGACAGATTCACGCCTCCCGCCGACAGATTCACGTCTCCTGCCGACAGATTCCCGACTGCCGGCGATGGACTCTGGCCTCTCGTTGCCCTTCTCTCGCTTGTCGTCGGCGGGTTCTCTCCTAGGGCCGACAGACTCCCGACTCCCGTCCGTAGACTCCCGAGTTTTGTCGACGGACTCAATAAGATCCATCGTGTCAGAAGGTTTCTTTCTTTTGCTAAGAACTCTATCTTCACAGATGTATCCAAAAAACGGTTACCGGTTGAATACTTCAAGGTAACCTAATCTCTTGCACGTATGTAGCCTGTGCCGTTTTGTTGCAATGTTGATCTTTGAGCGAAGTCGAATGTTGGCGTTGTTATAGTTCTCTTAGAATTCAAAATAGAACATAGAACATCACGGTACACGTCCTATTATATTTCACTCCATACCATGGTATTTATGGATGAAATATATTGTTTTTTTTTAGGTTATTCATGTTATGATGGAATGTATTGAATTTGGTAGTAAAGCATAGTATGATACTGAACTTTATTCCAAGGGCACACAAGGATGAAATTTTCAACAATTGTCACCTTCATCAGGATAAGTAATGACCAATCACTTCCGAACGTGAATCCACGCCAGGAAACGTGCCAGGCAGTTTATATCGTCCACCGTCTCTGTTTAGTGAAGGCTGGAGTGCCCTGATATATATGGCCTCATAATGCAGCTTTAATACCTCTCAAAATTAAAAATGTCCTGTTCAATGTCCAATATTCTGACTCGGTCGTACCAAATGAATGAATGGATACGTAACTGAATATGCCTGGTAAATAATGTAAATATATTTGAATGAAAAATGATTAATAGCATTTCGATACACCTATTTTTGAGATACATGAAAGCAAATGTAAACTTTCAAGTACAGGATTATTAATTTTTATTCCAAGATCCCCGATGGTATTAAATACATATTTGTTGTATATCTAAAATCGTTTCCGTCCCGCATACACATAACACCGCACCCTTATCCCTCAAATATGGACTGACGTTGACCTGTAAATGGGAACCGGTAGTGCATATTTGATTTGCAGGAATGGCGCTTCAAAGTTATAAGAGGGCCTGCAAGGGGGGGGGGGTAGTGATTACGAATTACGCAAAATTTTCGCCGCCTATTACGAATTACGTTAAAGTCTCAGAGCTGATTACGACTTTACGATTTGCGGCTAATGTTACGTTGATTTTTGCGGAGACTGCCTACGAATTACGAAGTCTAAAACGGCCTGATTACGCCTTACGAAAAAGGGCTTGCAGGCCCTCTTATAAGCTAAATTAACTCCCCTCTTGTAGAAAATGGCGACATTTCAGCCCATAGAGGTTCCGGCTTGGTGTGTGGCTCCTATCCTGAATCACGTCTATCAGCCTGAGGTCCCCCGTGTTGTCCCGGGCGTACACCGGGCTGGCGATGTACTCACTCCCCAGCCGGCTGCGGGCCGCCCGAGACGACGGAGTGTCCTGACGGGACCGTGGTCGAACAGCGCCCCCTGTTAATTTCTTTCGGAAGGGCACGTTCCTCCCAGCGATATCTGCTGCAACATGAAAGAAATATATATAAATTTCAATGTACATGTTTTATGAAAACTTTATTCTAACAGTTGAACATTTACTACAGTGTATACTCCTGCGAGGTTTTGCGTCCTTTTTCACTATTGCAAGTTATTGTTATAGATTGCAATACATGTATTTTAAATAGCTTATGAGTCCTATTATGTGAAATGCTGTTTGTATGTACTGAACCTGACTTGACTGGATGCAATCAGTATGGACATTGTGTATATTTTAATTACTTTGTATATGTCTTTGTATATACCTTATTTAGATGTCCATGTATTGTCTCAAATATGTCTCTTTATGTGACAAATGGTACTCAATTCAGGGGGTAGTAGTTATTCTCCCCCTGCTGATGTACATTTGAATTAGTGCAATAAAGAATGCAGAATGTAGCGAATTTCTTTAAATTTCAATTGTAAATTGGACGCCATTCAGTGGTCCCTCTGCAATGTGCAATAAATGCATCTGAAATCTTGAAAAAAAAATGGAGAACATTATTCTAAAAGTGCTTCATCTTGTAGTTCCGATAAGTTCACTACTAATGGGTCAAAAGTACATTAAATATCACGTATCCGAGTCAGTCTAATGAAGGTTATAATTATATATGCCCACAGTTTCGTTTGTTAGCATGAAAGTTCATCTGAGTTGGTAAAATGCGTAATGAGAATTAAACTGTTCTCCAACTCAACTCGGGGGGTGGTACCGACTTCCGACGAACTTTGACCCGGTGCTGACGTCACACGTGGGGAAAAGTCACGTGTCTACAGCACTCGGGTCAAAAAGCTAATGAAGACTGAACCATTCGGTTAAAAATTCCTGGTGGGTCAATTTTCTTGAGTTGGAGAACAGTTTAATTCTCGTTATAAACTTTCTTTGTTGCACTGAGCCTCAACTTAAATTAGATCATTCCCAGTACCTATGACAAGTGTGTCCTCTGATGTCGGGTAGGTGTCGATGACGTCATAGTTGCGCAGGCCCAGTCCGTCTTTAGGCCGGTGGATGTCCACCATAGTCTGCTCCACCACACGTCTTCGGTAGCTCGCCCACTGACTCTCTTGGAAGAACCGTTCACACAACTGCCTGTCCAGGGGTACCTACACATCGACTCAGTCATGTTACCTTTAGGCCACAGCAAGTAAATTTTATGGATGACATCCTCCGCAGACTCAAAATCTAATGCGAGCGGGCGAAAAAAACAAGGCGGGCCGAAAAAAACAAGGTTCCTACAATTTGATATTTTGACTCAATTATAGTACAAATGGTTTTGATTCAGTAGGAACATCATATATACACAGTCAGTATCACATATCAAAGTAAGAAACAAAACATTAAATCAGAGCCTTGTCTAGATCTACTCTCCATTTTCGGCATGTTGACCACTGTCAGAAGGCAACAAAAGTTTTTTTTCTCCAAAATCAGGCGAAAATTAATGCGCGCTGATGTCATCCATAAAAATTATTTGCTGTGGCCTTACCATATCCGTTGGAAAAAGTTACTGTGTTTCTGCTTCCCCTTACCCAACCGACCCTAGCAAATAAGCTCCAAGCAGATCCTAGGGGGACAAAAGACAGTATTAAATTGGCCAGGCAGTATCCATTCGCCAGAGAGAGTCCATATGCCGATTTGATACAGTTACTGTCTTTTGCCAGCTAGGATCTGCTTGGAGATTAAAAAGCAAAAACCTTCCTACCGTAGCCCCTTTTTTGGACGACCGCTGACAAGGCCATCAATTTTCGATCTGACATATGGATATTTCTGATTTTCAATCCTCTCAAACGTTATTTTATGCACTTTTAGAAGCAAATTTTCTTGAGTAAATCTGTCCCAGATACAGTTATGAATAGAACGAGCAAAGATGGGTGTGATCATTTTTTTTTTAAATATTTCAACATCTTTTTTCAACTCATATTAATGCCACCACCAACACAGAGGACAATACAATACTCATTTACACCTGAGCGAAGTGAGGAAAGCCGTGTAAAGTGCCTTTTCCAAGGGCACAAGATCCGTGGCATGTCAGGACTCGAACCCGGGACCTCTTAATTCCGAGTTGAGCACTCTGCCGCTACGCCACATGACCCCACATGTGATATTTCTTATGTCAAGCCCTCACGTAGCCTCTACCAGGCTTGGGGAGGCGGCTGGAAAGAGTAGAAATCGGCCAAATAGAGAGATAAGCATGCCAAGGGAGTTTTTCAGTTGAGAGAACATTTCGCCACACTCCAATGTCCTCTCAACGGACAAACTCCCTTGGCATGCTTATCTCTCTGTTTGGCCGATTTCTACTCTTTCCAGGCCAGCCGCCTCCCCAAGCCTGGTAGAGGCTAGCCCTTACGTACCTCCACGTTCTCTTTCTCCAGTCCCTGCAGGTCGGGTTGTCCCTCAGACA